TTGCGGGTCAGGCTTTGGCTAGCCGAAGGCTCCGGTTGTGAATTCTTCAAAAAATGCACCTGCCTTGACCTGGGCAACCAGGCCCACAAGCCAATCATGGAACGTTTTTCTTTTTCATAAAGATTACTGTATCATTATTTGCCTGGCACAAAGTCTGTCCTCAGACAAGTATGAAAATATGATATANTATATATATATATATATCCCAATTTCGGTTGCTTATGAAAAATCTCGATGTTTTCAAACAGTATAATGAATGAAGAATCTGCATGTCGCATCATCCGAGTTTCTGTTGTGCTCATAAAATTAAAAGTTCAATTGCGAAAAAAATTATGAGTGAACGAGTATGTTTGCCCTGGTAAGTAATAAGTCAATTTCTTGGGCCTCGCGGATGATTCCCACGCTTCTATGCGATGTCCGTTCGGTGCAGATTATCACCCAGTTTTGGGCACAGTTACGAGGACTGTAGATCGGTCATCACCTGTGTTCCAAGTTTTGCGACAGCAATAATCCTTTATCAAACAACCACCAAGGCGACGGCATCATTACAGACAAGGTGCGGAGTGGAGAGTTTCGGGACGATGCCCCGCAGGAGTGCCGTAGCAAGCCCCAATCACTGTAGTCATCTGAGTAAGAGCAAGATGATTTTTCAACAAAGCTGTACCACTTACTTAGTTCGACGAAGAACATCCTCCCTTGCATTTCACTTGAAACGTACGTCTATGCATCAGTGATCCAAAGCCCCTATTCACACTCGTACATAAGTATGGATCGGATAGCGACATAAGAAGGGAATGACTGATCTCACTACGAGTCCAGAGCATGTGATGTACCTAAAAACGCTCCTTTGTTCATTCACTTGGAAGTAAAACCGAAATGAACAATTCAAATGATGGTACATTCTCGATTTGTCAACCGAAAACTCATCACCACACATCGGCACTCGAACAATTGTGAAGGAATCGGACGTCCACATGAGCCTGGTGAGTTAGCGGGCATGCCTTCATCTTCTACTAATTCCCTTTAACTTACAGCTGCTTTATTAAAAAGCGGCGCGGGAATCAATGACGAAAGGTACTTTCGGCTGCAGGAACTGCAAATGGTGATATAGTATTCGCCGCAGTGTGAATATTGGTCAAGCAGCTCCTAACACAACGGAACCCCCCTACATTGATCGAGTCCTGCAATCCCTCACAGTGAGCAGAGATTATTTACTTGTGCACAGAAAATCACTGCAGTGACTTGAATGTGCTACAGATACGAGAATGGTGGTTTGAATAGAAATGACCGATGTAACAGCGAATTACAACTCAACAGAGCATTCAGTCCTGTGTCCCTTAACAACAGATTAACTCTTTGTGACTGGGCAAGATGCGAACGTAATCAGCTCTATATCGTCATCGACCGAACTGCCATTAGGCTTACCTGTGAAACACGTCCAGGTTTTGCGCGAAATCCACCAATACCCAAGTTTCCCAGTCGACGATTCTTCGCTCCCCCAGCAATGTTATTTGTCTTTCCGTTTACATTGGCTATCAAATTTGTGAGATTCGTACGTGAAACAGACGTGCCACGCTAAATCAGGGAAGAAAATCAACAAAAATAACATGTTAAGAACAAAGTGGCGGACAATTGTTCAGGCGCATATAAGAAAATGGACGTTATTAAAATGTGGTGAATCTCTTTTAAAGACTTTAAAAATGTTTTTTTTCATTAGGCACATTTGTGTGAACAGCAGACGGGGCGAACCCCATAGTCACAATGAATTGCTGTTCCTTCATGGAAACCGGTAACCTAAGCCCTGGGACTTAAAGTGGTGAACCACATAAGGCCCCGATTGATTAGGCGTGGTACATATATACATATCTATACCCCACGAGGTGGCGGTTCTAAGTGGAAGGTGAAAATAAAGGATAATCTACAAGTAGACTGTCATGGGAATCATTGGAAAAAGCTGTGCTTTATTCGAGAACATCAGCCAGAGGCCTCGACTAGCAGCATTGTGTGACAGTAGACCTCGAGAAGAGAACCTAGAACAAAGTGTTTAATATGAAAAGAAATTGTTGAAGCGACCTATCGATGACCCGATTCATTGGACGGTGTAGAGGAAACCCTAAGGTCAACGGCATTGGGTTTTACACCACAAGAGATAAGAAACAGCACCATGCATACGTGGCTATAATATTCAAGAATAGGACTTTGTACATAAAAACGATCAGTGGGAGTAAAGAAACGTGACGTATAGAATAAAAACCCGTAATGCAGTACACAAAATAAAGAGTTATGCGGAAGAACAGATGGGCGTGTATGACGTAATCTGGATATCAGTACCCCAATCATTTGCCTCAATCTCAAGTGGCTTAGGAGTATCTGCAAAGAATGCAAGCATAACCATTGGTGGTGGTATTATCAATTACAATAGTGATGACAAGCGACGACCTAACAGCATACCAGAAACGACAGCTCCGATATAATCAAATAAGGGTTGCTCTGGTACAGGTGCAACGCAACGTTTATAATAGCTTTTCTGCAACCTCGTGAAACGAATTTCACAAACCATTTAGACCATAACAATTTCGCCATTGAAATTCACAGACCAACTGGGTTCATGAGTTACCTAAACTGAGCTCATCAGGGAAAGCTGACAACTCTTGACTCTAGACTCGCAAGAAGAGACGTGGAGATGCAGACGGGACATCCTAGATGGAAGGGTTTAGTGGAACACAGGATATCCCAGAAATGTGAATCCTATTCCAAATAAATATATATTAGAGTTCATTCATCGAAACACATCCTACCGCTCAGTGAATACCTCTGAAGGCGTTTCTCACACCTAGACCTGACACTAATCGAAGGGAACAACAGACAAACAGTAAGCTTTTCATCGCCACTTTCCGGTGAAAAATGATGGAAACGACCGATAACAGACTAACCAAAGACGGAGTGCGTATTAGATGGAGTAAGTGAAATTGTTCCTGTGAATCAGCCCTGAATTATGATTCACTAGCAGAGGAAAAATGAAGT